AAAAATATTTTAATATTTGAGGGATAGTTTCACCCCCTTAGAATTCGAGTTTCGAAAAATCCCTTCTTATCGACCCTCTACACCCTAAAGTCAATCTGTTTTCCAAAAATCAGCTTTTTACGTTAAGCGCTTTAAGCAGGATCGTGATTAATCAATGACCGGATTTTTCGAAACACCCTGTATAAATTTTTAAAAAATCTTAAAATATGTAAAAAAAACAAAATAAAATATACGTGTTTAAGCGTTCTTTCGGAAACTTGACCGTTTTTTAAATAAAAAATATTGTAATATTTGAGGGGTGGTTTCACCCTCTTGGAAATGGAATTTCGAAAAATCCCTTCTTATCGAACCTCTACATCCTAGAATCAAACTGTATGCCAAAATTGAGCTTCTTACGTTGAGTGGTTTGAGCAGGATCGTGAGTAATGAGTATGTCAGTCACTTCAGGATTTTATATATTAGTATAGATTATCGGAAACTATTATGATTACAGTTGTTCTCTTGATTCACTTATTTTGAATAATACGGGCCCCAAATGGCCGAAATATCAGTTTTTTGCAAATATCTGCCAAAATATGCAATTTAGAGAATTTTCCTTGAAATTAGAAATGAAGCTTTCAAGATATTCCGCCTCGAATATCCCTAAATTTTCTCACCACGATATATTTCATAACGGTATCATTGATTGTTAGGACAAATTGTTTAATAACTCGTCTAAAATTTAATATTTTTTGATGATTCAAAGTTCATATTAAAAGCTCATTTTAGATCTTTACAAATAAGCTATTATTAGTGAAAACACGAATGAGTTTGTAAAAATCTGAAAATTTTTGTGCTAAGGAACGGTTTGCTCGGTTTTTTTATTATCATAAAATATGACAAAATTCAAACAAGTTTTAAAATGTGGCAGCTGTTGATTCTAACCTTTAAATCAACAAGAATAATAATAGAAGCGATATTCTCTAAAAGAAAAATAAAAGAGGCTTTTTTAATACAATCTAATAAAAATAAATGTATTGCTCATGCATCTGTAGATGTTAGTAATGTATGGCAATCGCTTTTTTTTATTTTAAAGAGCATAACATAAATAAACATAACATACGTAAAAATTAAAAATAATCAAACAAAACAAACAAACAAACAAACGCTTTATTGTACAAAAAGCCAAAACAGCTTCATCGACAAAGCAAAACAAAAAAGCACAAAAACAAATATACAAATAAACAAATAAAAATGTCATACAATACAAATCAATTCAAAAAAAAAAATTACGTCATAAAATTACAAATAAAACATATATGGACATTGCAGAACACAGGCGTATCTAGAAAATTTTACAAAAGGAAAACTGTAAATGGATAAACTAATGTTATATATTATAAAATCAAGAGTTATAAAATATTAAATACTAAATATTAGACTTTTAACCAGTGTGTGAGATGATCAAAATTGAAAAATTCAAAATTGTTCATGATTAAACATCAACAAAAAAGTTGTTTACCGCATATAGGGCTCTCTCCAGTAAGTATGATTTCAGAGCTTTGCGAAATGCGGGAAAGAATGAAAGTGACTTGATATTCGAAGGCAAAAGATTGTACATTTTCTTGGCATTGTACAGTATTGAGCCCTTAACTAGTTCTGAGCTCGGGGTTGGCAGATAAATATCGTGCTCCGCATTCCTAAGTGGATAGTTGTGAGAAGGCCTCTCCGGAATAGAGAATATGTGCTTGCGGATTAAGCAAACGGATTCAAAAATGAATAAGGAAGGAAGAGTCAGTATTTTGAAATTTTTAAAGAAATTCTGGCAGTGAGTTCTACTGTTTAGTCCCAACAAGTATCGAACTGCTCTCTTTTGAAGTTTGAAAATACGATGAAATTTTGTCGCGCAGCAAGTACCGCAGAATGGGAGGGCATAACGAAGATGCGACTCAAAAAGGGCATAATAGACCATTCTAGAGGTTGATGAGTTAAGTTCCTTAGAAACTGATCTTAGCGCAAAACAGGCAGAGCTTAGTTTCTTTGATAAGGCTTCGATGTGCAAGTCCCATTTTAACGAGTTATCTACAACAAGTCCTAAGAATCTCACAGAGTCCACGACGTCAATAGTGGTGTTTGTTATTAAGTACAAAAGGTTGTATAGTACTTTTGTATGACAAAACTTTAGTTTTTGAAAGGTTGAGGCATAAGAGATTAGAATCGCACCAAGATTTAATGGTGCGTAAGTCACTGGATATAGTACTATATAGTGCCGTAACATCTTGGCCGCTCCAAGTGAAACTAGTGTCGTCCGCAAAGAGGCAGATTTTACCGCTAGAGTCTAGACTTGCAATGTCGTTGATAAACACCAGAAATAAAATAGGGCCAAGTACTGAACCGTGAGGGATACCATATTCTATAGACTTACAAGAAGACAGACGTATCAATCCTCACAAGCTGCCTTCTGTTGTAATCATACAGAAAGTTTGGGCTTTTTGGTTTTACCTTATTAAGTAATTGTTATCAGGTAGTAATTGTTAATTTTGAAGTTTAACTTGATATAATATCATTTTAACAGAACGTCAACGGTTTTTGTAGACGTATTTGTTTTAAAAAACTAAAGGGTTCTCGAATAGTTGAATTTAAGTATTTTAAATAGTTTTTTTCTATATTCCTTGTATTTTTTTGCTTTCGACGACGGAAAGTGATAAACTTTCCGAAACGTTAAGCATTTTTTTGTTCGTTACGCAAATTTGTATATTTTTAAACCTAACTTCTGACAAGTAGTTTCCGTTTGGGATTAACGCAGAAGTGTTTACAGAAAATAACTATTTTATTTTGTAGATTTTCTTGCAGTGGCGAAAAAACCATATAGGATTTTTTGGAGAGCTTTTAAATCAACTTTGAATCATCAAAGAATATTAAATTTTAGTCGAATTATTAAACAATTTGTCCTATCAGTCAGTGATATGCTTATGAAGTCTATTTTCGGAGTGTTAAGATTCTCAGTAAGTTTTTTTTCGTTAAGAAAATTCAGGAATCTTCTAGGCGGAATATCTCGAAAATTACTAATACTACGTTAAAAATGATAAAAACCATTTTTTGTAGATAATTACCTAAGCTTGCAACCTTTTTTATTTAAAGAAAAAAATTGTAAATTGCATATTTTGGCCGATATTTGCAAAAAACGATTTTTGGACATTTGAGGCCACTTTTTTCGGAAACAGCTGGTAAGGTGTAGTGTACGGTGTGTGTAATTTTTTCATCTAAAACTACTCTCCAAAACGTACACAATCCGCCTAAAAGTCAAGGTCTTTTGTCCCCTTAATTACTATTATTTTATATTCTGTGTGACTAAAACTTGATTTTCATGCATCCGTTATACCAGAGTACCTAAACCGACGAGTAGCGACAGTCCCGTTTTCAATTTTCTTTGCGGCTGCGCGAAATAAGTAGGTTATCTGTCATACGAAGAAGCGAAGTTGTTGCCATTTATCAAATATCTCTATATATTTTATTTCAAGTATACCTCAGGCAACGAATCTTTTTTTTTAATTATTTATTAGCAGTAAGATATTTTATACATTCAAATTTAGAAATAAGGATAAAACAAAATAAAAAAGATATGTATAAAACTTTATAATTAATTCCACTTCAAATTGTGAGCAGTGTATACCATGTGTTTATAGGACCACTTCATAAGTTGAGCAGTTAAATACGTAGTCTATCTGTCAAACACGTCAAAAGAGAGAGAAAGAAAATTTGGTCCCACCACATCAAAAGAGCCGACGGTTTCTGTCGCTACTCGGCGATCTACGTACTCTGGTTATACGTTGATACGATGGTCCGACGGTGCTCTGATTGGTCATAGCGTTTTCGCGCCAATTTTCATCCGTAAATACTTTACTTCAGCCCTTCAACGGACCCGTTCATACGATAATGGACGTTTTGACACTTTTTTGACAAATTTAATCTAACAATAATAAAAATATAAGTAAAATAGCAAAATTGTTATGGAAACGAAAATATAAAATAACACCAACGTATATCCGATAAACGGAGGCATGAAAATGAAATAAATTTAAAAACGGCGTTATTTTGTAACCAATCAAGGTCTTTAAATTCTACCAATAAAATTAAAATCGTATCAACGTATCGTCGGACAACGGATGCATGAAAATCAAGCTTAAAGCCAGAGTCTCATGCATCCGAAATCCGATGATACGACGATCCGACGGTGCTCTTATTGGTTGAAATATTTTGACACCAATTTTTATCCGATAATTTTAACTAATCGTCCGACGTCGTATAAAGTTAAATTTTGTTTAACTTTTGTACGATATCGTGTGTTTTTTAACCTCACTTTTTTTGAAAACATTTGTTTTTAAAAACAAGTTTAGTGGGAAGTGGGCAATTTGGGGATATTTGGCGAGGAAGTTATTTTTAGTTTTAAGTGTTTCTCCAATAAAACATGACATGAATCTCTATTCAGTGCAGCAGAAAAATGTCAAGTGTCAAATTTCGGAACGAACTTTCGGATGTATGTGACAGGCCTTGTTTATTTCACAGGATAACTTCAAATTTCGGATGTCGTACCATCGGATTTCGGATGGATGAGACTCCGGCTTAAATCGTATATCCGATGAACGGAGGCAAGAAAATGCAATAAATTTAACAAATGCGTAATTTTCTAACCAAAGAAAGTCTTTAAATTCAACCAATAAAATTAATATCGTATCATCGTATCGTCGGATAACGGATGCATGAAAATCAAGCTTAATTCTAAATGAAACTGTTTTCTTTATCCAAATTCACAATCCAAACCAAATGAAACTGTTTTCTTTATTATAAAAAAATGAAAGAATTTCCCTTTCATGTGAGATTGTAACCAAACCAAAATTTTTGTTGCTTATATTTCTGTAGGTGTTAGTAGTTTTTATTTACTTTCCTACACACTACTACGTAAGATTCGTACAAAAGGAGTTTTCTTTGACAAATCAAATACGCAAATGGATTTCACTTACTTCGAGTTTCAATTTGGCGCTCCTGTGTGTTCGTTCGGCGGTATTTTGCGCTTGACAGGTGAAGGTGGTGTTGTGGTGGAGTTTCCTAGGCGTCAACTTCAGGATTGATTTCGCGGTGTATCTCCTGTGATCGGGCAATTCTTCAACGATATAGTCGCTCGCATCCGTTAGAACGTTTCCTGCAATACAAAGCGAAATATTTTAGATATTTTTCTATATCAGCACTTATTATTTTAAGGTAACAAAACGGCTATATACAAAATTGGTGTATGATCAAAACGTATTGTGGTCGAGGGAGTTTTGAATGTAGGTCAAAGACCTCTGTAAAACAAAAAAAATTAGGCAAACCAAACACAAAATGGAAAATAATAGGTCAAATGGGTATTTCGCCACTGTAAGAAAATCTACAAAAAATAACTATATTTTACAACCTAACCTAACCTAACACTGCTGCAATAATCCACTCATAGATAAAAGACTTATACTATTAAATAGATAGGCAACTTATAATACATTTCAATTTTATTATACAAGGGCGCCTCTGGTAGACGGAGGAAGAAATACTATTGGAAGAGAGGGGTGCGGGGAAGGGGGGTTGTTTTAGTTAATTTAAAATAAATTTAGACATACATGTAAGAACATTTTGTGTGCTTTTAATTAGGTCGAACATATTATAAACGATAAATCAACTGAATTAAAAGCATACAAAGTGTTCTTATATGTCGGATATTAATTAAAAAATATATTAAAAATACTAGAAATAGCATATATTAAGTTGTTACAGTTATAATTTAATCTTTGGCGGTTTTCAGCAAATAGCAGGCAGTTTTACATAATTTTCCTCCCTTTGAAGTGAATTGGAAACGGCTAGGTATATAATTTTGGTGTAGGCAAGATTCCCAGTTTGTTTCCGTTTGGGACCTGAAATAATAAAAACAAATTAAATCAGATGTAATCATCTGCTGATCATGCTAATATAAAACGCGCGTCCTTAATTCCTTACATGCACCGTAAAAAAATTTAAATAACTGCTCTGCAAGTAGCATTTATTAGCAGTACTAATTTAAAAAATCTATAACTGTAAGTAGATATGTTTAATTTACTTACCATTGTATCCTTCGGAAACCAGGAGTACAACAATTAAACTCCATGATAAAAAATAATTAAAAGTTATTACAAAACACAAATTGTCCCACCATTTTTAAAAAACATTGTCTAAAACAGAATACTGGCAAAAAATCTGAAGGAATTTAATTTTACAATAATTCGACAAATCAAAACGAAATCAAACAGTAAAATCACAACAAAAGCGTCTCTGAGTGACAGTTAAAAATCAAATTTTATTATTGTCAGATATTGACATTTGCATTGTTAATATTGACAGTTTTAATATTTTGCGCCTCTGCATCTTGGAGGAAAAACTTAATGTTAATGAACTGTCATTTCCATTTAAGTTTCCCAGCCATGAATCCATTGAATAATTTTCTTCTTTCAGTGGCTACAGAGTGGTCTGGTAGGTTTAACCATAACCAACATGACATACAGGCCAGAACATCGATTTGTGACGTCACCGCACTAGTCCGACTTTTGTATTGTGCCATATGGTACTGCATATAGTTTTTGCATAAATAATAGTATTTATTGATAGTTTTGCCAGATATAAATATGAAAAGTATTATACAGAAAGGTATTAAAAAATAACATTAACTTTTTATCGCGTTAAAGTGATTGAATATTATTAAAATTTAGATCTAAAGCACGAATATTAATATGAAATAAACTACAGCATAAGATGAACAAAATAAAATCTAGATAATAAAAAGTGTGTCCTAAAATTGCGTTAGCGAGTATTAGCAACTAGTAATAATATACTAGATAAAAAGTTTCCAAATATTAAAAAATTTGAAAACTATACGTTTATCGACAAGTTAAGAAAATGTATTGTATATGATAACGGCAGAATACATTTTAAAGTTTAATTAAAAATAATTGTAAAAATTTGCCTAACATATTTAAAAAATGTGGATATCAGATAGAATTAACTATTAACATTAGGTAATTTGTAGTTCGATGTTCATCAAGTAACCAACTCCATAAATCGTAAATAAAAAGATAAAGATATCATTTTTTTTATATAAAATACTGAAATAAAGTACAAATTCATTTAATTTCTTTAAAATATATTGCCATTTCATAATAATAATATATGTTTCATAATAATAATAATACTTTTCAATATTTATTTCATCCTGAATTTCCAAATCTTGTTTTCTTTCATCGGGACGTTTTCTCTTTATGGGAACGTGCACAGAGGGTCCATAATAGGGTTGATTTGGAAAAATTGTAGGCACAGCATGTTCTGTAGGTTTTGGATGTAGACAGATCCTGAGTACTTATTATAATTGCTGCTACAAGGCACAGGCACAGAACAATGTCGCGGAATTTTTTATTTCACAAAGTAAAAATAAAGAAACGAAAACTGTTTTACATAAAAATACACGTCACTTACGTTGATTTAACACTATACACTAACACTAACGCTATTAATTATGTTTTTATATAAATTCCCCAACTTTTTCCTAGCCCGCACACACCCGCCGGCATCGCCGGTGTTACTATAATTTTTACCGAAAGTATGTTTTTTTTCGCGGGTACGATGTTATGAATCGGATCTAGATAGTTCACCATTCACTCAAAATTATTTAGAATAATTTTATTAGCATAGAAATGCGTAAAAACACAGATTTGTTGCGAAACTAATGAAAGCAATTGGTTTGTTTACGACTACTAATTCTGGACCACTTCGGTAGAACTGCCAAAACAGTCAGGCCTTGAATATGACGTTAGCCACGGTTTAACTAAAATGATTTTGTATCTCTCTATACTTTTATGAATTTAAATGAGATAATGTTCATTCAGAACCTCGTAATTAGTGGAATAAATTAGTGGTTTCAATTAGTGTAGAGGTTTCTTCCTTTAATTTCGATGAACGTCAAAATTAGTGGTAGTCTTTTTCAATTAGTAGAAAAAGTTAACAAACTTTTGACTTTTCCAGTAATTAAACTTCAAAATTTACGAAGAATGTCATTTTAGCCTTTGATCATCATCCGTCAAGAGAAATTGTGGTTAAAAATCAAAAGTTAATTGTTTTATAAGCTAATAATATTTTTTTTTTGAAAGCATTTGTACACCCTTGGTTAGGTGGTACACCCGTGGTTAGGCCTAACCAACCAAACCAATTCCGATTAATGTTTCCTTAAATATAAATAAAATGGCTGTTGGTGCAACGATTTCTTTATCACCTCGTATAAAATAGAACTTTTTTGTAATTTCTGACAATTACAAAAAAGAGATTTGAAAAGAGGAAACTTAAATTCAATTAGCAAAGCAAATAAACAACCTTCTTTAGCTTGGCAAAGACGAACGTACAAAGAGAAAACTAAAGTTTGTGTAAAATACGATTTGAATGAATTCAAGTATCCGCTTGGCGTTACATCGATGTGCATCCGCTGAAAATGTTCGAGCATGAAAACCTTTTCGAAATTATCAGCAACGCAAGACCAAACGACCAAAAGAAATTACGCTAACGACGTTTTCGTCGAATTAACAAAGAAAACAACATAAATAAAAAATTAAAGTCTTTCATCTCTCGCTCGAGAAAGACGAATTCCAACAAGTGTTTACTTGGATTTCGCTCGTCAAACGTTACATTCGTCTCGGAAATAAAATATTTAATTTGGAAAGTTCCGCGCGCCGATGCTCGCCGTCTACTTTATATTGTTAAATATTTCCGTTTGAAATTTCCCTGCCAAAGATAAATTAACCGTAGACAATCCCTTAATTTGCGTCGAACATTGGGCCTTCTAAAGAATTTAATAGGTTTACGACATTGAAGGGACTTTGAAGTGCGAGTACAGCTTGGGATTATTGGCCTATCCAATTTGAAAACATAATTTCTGACTCGCTTTGTTGTTCTAGAATCACGATGTTTTTTAGAAATAAGATTAAAAAATTCTTATTCTGCTCACATTCTGCATCGCAAAATTATTAGAAATTCGTGATTAAAGATATACAGGGTATTCCTTAACGACATTAGTCTCCGTTGGATAAACGCAATAGTTACTACAAAAAATAACTGTTTCATTCCTACACTGTCGAAATACTGATAGGACTTTTTTGAAGAGATGAATCCGCCACAGAGGTATAGACTTTTTTTAAAATAATAAAGTTTTTATAAAATTTTAGCATTTCAAAAACGAATTCCGATAAATGTTTCCTAAATATACATAATATGGAGGTTTTGTAACGATTTCCTTATCACCTCGTATAAAATAGAACTGCTTTGTAATTTTTGACAATTACAAAAAAGAGATTTGAGAAGAGGAAACTTAAATTCAATTAGCAAAGCAAATAAACAACCTTCTTTAGCTTGGCAAAGACGAATGTACAAACAGAAAACTAAAGTTTGTGTAAAATACGATTTGAATGAATTCAAGTATTCGCTTGGCGTTACATCGATGTGCATCCGCTGAAAATGTTCGAGCATGAAAACCTTTTCGAAATTATCAGCAACGCAAGACCAAACGACCAAAAGAAATTACGCTAACGACGTTTTCCTCGAATTAACAAAGAAAACAACATAAATAAAAAATTAAAGTCTTTCATCTCTCGCTGGAGAAAGACGAATTCCAACAAGTCTTTACTTGTTATTTCGCTCGTCAAACGTTACATTCGTCTCGGAAATAAAATATTCTGATTTGTTTCTCCTTTTTTTTCGATTTATTACAGTTTTCTCAAGTGTCTGTAGCAACTTGAATGACATTTTGAGTGTGAAAGATACTTTAACCCTCAACGGCTACACTGAATAATTTTCTTTTAGTGGCTACAGAGTGATCTGGTAGGTATAATTAAATTGTTTTGTTTCTCTCTATACTTTTATGATACTTTTTTCCGATGCGCAGTAGTGAACGCAACGTGTATCGCCAGCCATAGCATGCTGTTCCCGAGAGCATAGTAAAAGATATATCAAAAAGCCAGCTTTCTTAAAATACTTTCTCAAAAACGCTAGCAAGCTTTTAAAGTATTATTTATTATTAAATGTTATTAACATTTATAACAGTGATGATCAGTGCTACCTACAAGAAATTCCAAAATAAATAATGGTATATAAGATAATTACAAAAGACCAACTGTAACTGTAAACAAGTTTATTTTGCTAGTGTAATATAAACAATTTTTAATCAATGAATTAACTGGTATTTCAAAGGTGATTTGCATACATTGTGAACCGCCATTAAACGTAATAAATAATCCACTCGCTTTCTAATTGAAAAGCCTATAATGAGGCCTGTTTATTTATTTATTTGGAAGTGTTAATGCATTACAACCTCTAAATCAACTTAATTTGATATTTACCGCATGAGGTGCGAGCCGGCCATTTAGTTTAGCCAAAATTGGCTCCAGTTGCAAAGCGCCAAAACGACTCTGGTTAATATAAATCTAGAAACATCATTGTTTCATTTAATTCCACACTTTCATTGTGCTCTGCGCTAATTTACAATAGTTAGCAGAATTATAAATACTGGAACATGTATTTATTTTATCTACTTGTATTTACAAATGGGACGTAATAACGCAGTGTTTAGTAGATAAAGAACGACTAATTTTCTACCAGTTGTGGTTAGACGGCAAATGTGTCTGACCATTAACCCGGTGGCGATTTTACTAAATATATACTATTACAGCACAAGACACGCCCCCAAATACGTCATTGGAAAATATAATCTATCTCAGCACATTCCTCCAAAATCTAAACGTTTGCAGCACAACAATACGTCGTTGGAAAATTTAATTTTATGTTCATTTCACGTGTGTCAGGCTGTGTGGAGATGGTTGTGGGATGCAAAAAATCACACAGATATTAAAGAAAGAAAAAAACTTATGATGGAATTCCGTTATATACTTTATGCACAAAAGTGAAGAAGAAGCAGAGGAATTATTTGGTACCTTATGTGAAAAATGCAAATACCCAAATTTTATCCACTATCTTAAAAATTTGTGGGAAAGAAGGAACGAGTGGTGTCACTTTTATAGAAAATCATTGTGTACTAAAGGACACAACACAAACAACTTTGTTGAAGCATCTACCAGAGTTGTATGCAAAGATACTTTTATTACTTTACGATAAAATTTGTTCTTTCCGGGTAGGTAATTTAAGAAATATGCAAATTATTATATATATATATATATATATATATATATATATATATATATATATATATATATATATATATATATATATATATATATATATATATATATATATATATATATATATATATATATATATTAAAAAAATTAACTTATTATATTTATTTAGTATACATTTTTCATATGGAGTTTCCATAATAGTTATTAATAATAATTACCCTATTGAGAATTCCATATTACAAAGAATTAAGGTAGAATAATATATCTAATATTTTAATATTAATGTATATTTAATTCTAAATACTACTAAATATTGATCAATTATTAAAGACGCCTAAAACTGTTAATCAATAAAACTAGTACTGTATTTTTTATTTTTCTACTTGCTATATTAAAATTCCTTAGTATTTTTAGTTGATCCCTCGTATACGGCCAGCGTTCTGACTGATAAAATAGCACTTCCGCTGCACCCGGTAAACGTTCAAATTTTTTGTCACCTCGAAGGGTCACGGGCCGCCTTTGAAGTGAAAATAACAATAGAATTCCTTAAAGTGGGCCAACTGATATATTTATATTCTTTAAACTGTGGTAGTATTTTCTTTGTAGTACAGGAGTATCGTATAATGCGAAAAAAAGAGCCAACTAAACGACTTGCTGGAGAAATTAAAGATTGGATTGCATTGACAAGCAAGAAGGGTACGTAACATTCAATTTTTTGCTGTTCAAAAATTTAATATTTCAGATATAAAAAAATATACATACCAAGAACAAAAAATCGCTACCTATCAAGAACAAATAAAAAAATCAAACCATGTACAAAATAAAAAAATTGTAAATGAACTTAAGGAGAAAAATAATTTCTCTCTGGTTTGGCTGAAGAATATAAGGCAGAGACAAATTAGGAGATTTTGCTTTCTTAGTAAAAAGTAGAAAATTTCTTAAGTAAGAAGATTTCTTAAGAAGTGGCTTTCTTAAAAAATACTTTTTTTTGTAGATTTCTCTTCCAGCGGAGAAAACCCCAGACTTTTTTCCAAAAATAAATTAAGTTGCTTTACTGTATTTTGCTCATAAAGTTGAGGTGCTCTAAGTAAATATTTAAAATTTATTTTTAAACGATTTATAGAATTCAAGAGAACATTATTTTAAAAATGTTCTTCTTGCAAAATGCTATTTTCTCATTACTGTTTTTTATATGATTGAAAGGATATCTCTATCCATATAAACGAAGATTAGCAACTTACCATGTCCATCAATCCATGTAATCTCAGCTGCTGGTTTCCCTCCATAACTGATACATTCAAGCTCTATTTCTCTATCTTCAGTCGTCACCATATAATCACCCTGTACTATTTTGGGTGGATCGGGCGGAACCAAGACTGTCAAAGTGGCAAAGTCACTCCTAATACCTAAGGATAATATAATATTTGTTTAAAAGTTTTTTATGTACTATTTTTCTCGCTTATAATTAAACTAGTAGGTACATAAAATTCATGGAAAATTGTTCGTGGACAGAGGAAAACCATTACAAAGATTTTTTCGAAAAAAAATTAAACAAAAATCCAAAAATGTTTTTAAAAAATTCCAAATTTTCAAAAAAATGTGAGAAAAACCCCATAGTTTTTGGCGTCGAAATATACTACCCTTAAAACATTTATCCTTATTTAAGACCCACCCTGTTTAGAGGATATTAAACTAATTTCAACTTACCTGGATCACCTTGTGGGCCCGGTGATACTTGACACTGATACCTGGCGTCGTCGTCCAACATAACCGGATAAATGTCCAACGAGAAGTCACCTGAAATGGAACAAAACACATAAATTTGGCGACTCAAAGATATTTCGTACTTAAATATGTTTCCCTTAAGTCTAATAAAGTTTATCATTCAGCCGCCGAAATTTCTAATACCTAAGAATAATCCGCTGCTTGAGCCCTTACGAACTTTGTTATTGGGTTTTATGTTAGTGTTGATGTTTCCCTGTAGCGTCCCTAAAGTTGCGCAACAACCCCCTCCGACCTTCCCTATACCTTCCTTAATAAAACTTTTCATTAAATCGCTTTTCCAGATTCATCGCTTAAAGGGCTTATTAACACGCCATAACGACCAACTGGACTCGTTCCTCGTTTGAAAAATTCATCGTTTCTTTACGACTTGATTTATTTTTTTATGTCAGCATAAAGGGTCGTTCTTTCTCCTAACAAGAAAAAATAAGCCCGGAGCTGGCGCTATTTTTTTCTTCATAGTTTCGCGCTGGGAAGGGCGGAGGGCATCGCCGTGGGATATAAAACGTTTTCTTAACACTGCAATAAAGCCTTACATTTACGAAGTAGTAAGGCCTTTAGGTACGTCGATGATTTTAGGGAAGAGTCTTTATTGTCCATTTTTACTGCACTCGTAGTTTTACGGCCCTTCCGTACTTCACTCGGACTTCTAATTAAAAACTTTTATGCCGGTGTCGTACTGTTTTACGGGGAACTATATTTTATGATAATTAGAGATAAATTAGCTCTTTTTAAAATTACAGTATCTTAGGACCCGATAATAAAAGTGAGTAGCATTGAAAATAAGTAAATTCTACTTAATTTTCAATTTTTAACTGATTTTTTTGATTCTACAACCCGAGCTAAAGTTCATGCATTACAAAACTGTAACTTAAAGTTTTAGTTTCTTTGAAAGCAACACAAAAAGTTACATATTATGGGGGAGTGCAGTAGTTTTCTTTGTAAATTTTCCTAAAATAAAAATTGACGGTCAAAACCATGTCTCCTAAGCATTTTATTTTTTGGATCATGTCATTACATGCCTTGGTTAATTTTTAAGAGCGAAATGAACTTTCCACCAAAAATTTGTAATTTTTTCAATTATTATCATTTCTTTGGCAGGAGGGTTAGAGGTCGGGAAGAGGTACCAGTTTCATTAAATGAACTTCTCTTGGTTCTTAAAGAAAAATGGGAAAGCAAACGCAATATGATATATGCCTCAATGACAGTATGAACGGACATATACAGGCAGTTTATTTTTTACAATTTTTCTTTCTGTCTGTATACTTATTACAGATTTTTTAGAGTATTGCAGATGTTTCCTTTAATATCGTTAGTTCTGATTAGCGATGGGAACTATCGAATGAATTAGACTATCGAATGGTTACTGAATGAATGATTTCAGCTATCGAATGGTTTTATTCGAATAAAATCATTCATTCATTTGTATACTAAAGCATATGTGACAACCTCGCCGTGCGACTAAATGGTTATCGTTGCGCCACGAGCCACGACTATCGAATGCTTTTGATAAATGAAATTTAGTATTCCAAATTTTTATAACTTCGCCTTGTAAATACTATGCTATTTTTGCGTTTATTAAAATATTTAAAATACTAAAATAGTAGTTTTTTTTAATTGACGATTGTGTGCGAAGTGGTCAAAATTTTTCCGAAAATTTGTGTGATTTTCCGTAGCCCGATCTTTCAGTTATTTAATTTTATATGGTATATTATGGTTAGATTAGATTACATTTTTTAATGGGAAATTTTGAGAAGTAGCAATTTTTAAGAGAGATGAGATGAACTTACAATTAATTTTAAAAATACATATTTGTATTTTAGATGTTTTAATAATATGAATTAGTTGAACTTAATCATCATATTTAAGTAATGTGGTTAAGTAAATGGGGTTATCAAACTCAAATTTTGGGGTGAGAAAATTAAATTGAAACTTTTACACGTGCCAATTTAAAAAAAAATGTTAACAATGTTTGTATTTTGTTTATGCTAATTCTCTTACATGTAGTTTTTTGCGAAGAAATATTTCATTTATTTTTTAAAGTAAATGCCAGTAAAAGTAAATATTATTTTGAAATAGTAATATAAAGTAATAAAATGTAATATAAATAATTTTGATTTCTAATTTTTTATTTATATTTTCCTTCCATTACACATGCTTAGAAAATTAATAAATGTTTATATTTCATGATTTTAAAATTTGTTGTTAATATAACAAATTAGTTCTGTAATTATTATTATTTAATAAACCAACATTGCCATTTAGAGACTATATTATTTTTAAATAGGATCTAATATAAATACTTTTGACTTCTATTTGTTGTTTATATTTTGATACTACTTAAAAAAAATGTTTATATTATTAAATGATTTTAAATTTTGTATAACAAATTATTAGTGTTATTATTATTTATTAAACCAGTCTTTGCTTAAAAACATTAAAAATAATTTTCCTACATCCAAAATAAAAAGTATTATTGCAGTGTAACAACAGAATATTAATAAAAAAATGCAAAACATATAGACATACTATCCCTAACTAACTAATGCTAAAGAAAAATATTCTTTGCTAATACCAACTAATACGAATATATGGCAACAGCGCCCTTCATAATGTATTTTCTGTGTAAATACTAGCACCTCAATAAAAAAATAATGTGTCCTTATCTTTATTAGACTCCGCAAAAAATCAAAAAGATGCCGGCTTCTTTCATAGCATTGCCACCGACCGCTGTCGGGTTTCTAGGAAAGAAACCTACGTCGCCGGACGACAACTAGAATCCAGTTTATATTTTATTAAAATCGATCCTGACGAATAAATGAATTTGATAAATGAATGAATTTTATAAATGAATGGTTTTTGCTGCCGAATTACTAGAATACAATATTTCAAGGCAGATCACGCATCTATTCGATAATTTTTATTCGAATAGTTTTCGACGAATGTTTTCTTACTAGCTATCGAATTATTCGAATGAATTGTAACTATCGAATGTTTCGATAGTATTCATTCGATAGTTCCCACTACTAGTTCTGATATCGTTATTAATGTTTATTATTATATTTAACTTTTTTTTAATTTAGTATAGAGTATCCAATGCAGTATAATATGACGTTAGGACAATAGTCACCAAAATCGTCTAGTCATATTAAAAAATTACATCAAAAAGTAGTGATAATTGAAAAAATTGCAAATTGATCGTGATCAATGCATTTCACACTTAAAAATTAACCAAAGCATGTATTAACATGAATTTAAAAAACAAAATGCTTAGGAGTCATGGTTCTGACCGCGAAATTATATTTTAGGAAAATTTACACACGAAATTATTGCACAGGGTGTTTCAAAGTTAAGGTAAAAAACAACCCTTCGATTAACCCTGTATAATATGCTAAATACTAAAGTTTATAAAAAACTTAGTTTACGAATTAAATTTGATATAATTATATACAGTTTGCTAAAAAATTCATGAAAATAGGGCTAAAAATAACAAATAACACTTTAAATTTAACCTAAAATTTCTCCATTGCGTTTTTATTTGTATCTGAGTGTATGTTATAATAAATGTAATAGGGTTCCTTTAAATTATTAAATCCTACCTTATATTCCTTAAAGACACAAAGTAAAATTGATTAAATACATAATTTATGGAAAAATGTCACACACTCAATATACATTTCATAGGAAAAGAAAAGAAGTAAAAATGAACATGTTCAAGACGAAATGGTTCTTTACTACTGTACGTCTTACATTTTCTTTTTACGATGATTTTACGGTTTTAGTAGCTAGTAAATCTTTTCAAATAAAAGTTCAGCATAAGCTATGATAGTTACATTGACGTAATATTGGAAACTATTGTACACTATTGATGATATTGTATATTACAGTTGGGGGTTGAAATCTTTGGTATTATAACAGCAAAATAGATTACTAATTCACCACAATACACCAAACCACTTGTTTTGGCGCATTGCGGCGAATTAGTGTTTTATTTTGCCAAAGATATTGTACGTATGAAATGAGTACCTAGCTGTATTTAATGGTATCAGCAGAATATAGCTAATATTTAGTAAATTAAATCAATAAAATTATATACCGGTTGCGTCTCAAAAGGGGCTCACCTCTATAACTTTTTTTATTTTTTCAGATAAACAACGATATTTGGTATGTTAGTATATGACAGAAATTAGGATTGATTGACATATTCAATTGTTTTCGGTCACTTCCGGTTTCACCGGAAATTACTACAACTTATGATTTTTAAATGACACTGTCGGTATTTTTTTACTTTATTTAAGAGAAAATCACACTCTGAATAGAATGACATACACGATCAAATTTATTTTTCCAAGGCACCTTGATTAAAAAATAGTGTTTTTAACCTAGCCATTTCGAACTCTAGATTGAAACTTAAAATACAATTTGTTTTTGAGCGAATATGTCAAAAGTTGACATATGATATGTCATTCGATTCAGAGTGTCATTTTCTATCGAATAAAGTAAAAAAATACTGAGGGTGCCATTTAAAAATCAAAATTTGTAGTAATTTCCGGTGAAAACATGAACTGATCGAAAACAATTGAATATGTCAGTCAATCCTAATTTATGTCATATACTAACAAACCAACTCTCGTTTTTTTATCTGATAAAATAAAAAAGTTATAGAGGTGAGCCACTTTTGAGACGCACCCGGTATACAGGTTGTTAATTTGTTTATTACTCGCGGCAAGAGCTTTATGGTTGAAATATGGCAACCTCGGCCCGCTCGTCGAGAGATGACGCGATGGGACAAGTCGGCAGCTTAGCTTAGTACTCATTTTGGAATGTAGGCAGTGTTGACATTAAGTAATCATCCAGTTAACAATCTGTATATTCTCGGCTTTATACAGTAGCTTGATAAAATTATTAGCTGTAGTAAAACTGCGAATCTCCATCAATGGGGATTAATGCACAGTAGGCGAACTTTTAAAACTGAAGAAAAATTTCAACTTTAATAAAACTTTAAAAGCTAAGTA